AGTAAGGTAACCCAGACCCAGAAAGACAAATATCATACGCACTCATTCATAAGTGGCTTTTAGACATAAAGCAAAAAAAAGGAAGGGAGGAAGGAAAGAAGGAAGGAAGGAAGAAAGGAAGGAAGGAAGAAAGGAAGGAAGGAAGGAAGCAAGCTACAATTCACAATCTCAGAGAATGTAGACAACAAAGAGGACCCTAAGAGAGACATACATGGATCTAACCTAAATGGGAAGTAGAAAAAGTCAAGATCTCCTGAGTAAATTGGAAGCATGGGGACCATGGGAGATGGTAGGAGGGGAGGGAAGTAGAAGGGAGAAGAGTGGAGAAAATATATAGCTTAATAAAAACAATAAAAAAAATTAAAAAGAAATCACTCAAAGAATCTGACATGAGATTAGGTTGACTCCAAGATCCCCACTCTGAATTTGCTGTCCAGAAAGCTCTTCCAAATGATATTGTCATCCCTATATATGATTCCAGAAAAGTGGTTCCATCAGCAGTGGCAACATAAGAGAAATGCTAAGTCCTCCGGGATGTAGGTGTACCAAGCATTAGGCACCTTCTTTTATTACCCAGCTAGTGCTAGAAGAGTACTGAATACCTTGGTTGGCATTTTTAAATCTGCGGATAAAAGCTCTCTAAATAAAGACTTCCACGTGGGTTGTGTTCACATGTTCCCCCGCAATTTCATTCTCCCTCCTTTTGGGAAGCTGCTCTCAGAGTGACACTGGAGGGAGGTGAAAGGCTCAGGGGGTGGGAGGCATAGAATACTCCCCAGAGAAAAATAAAATTCTGTGCAAAAATAAACTGAGAGGTCTGAGCTTATTGACATTATGGATTGATTTTTTTTAAATCTCCAAATAGATAAAGCTCTCTAGAAGAATGTTTTTTAGTTCCAGCTATTATAAGAGCCAAGAAAAACGAAAATAAGCCAAAACCCAGACAAGTGTGCCAGGTAACTGTACAAGGCTATAAAAACAAGAAAGTTGGGTATTTTCTGCCTTTCTCTCGTGTTCTAGCGGCACAAAACACGGCAATTGTTTTGCTTTGATAAGTTCTAGAATTCTGCATTTATTTCTCATGAATGATAATTTTTCTAGTCAATAAAATTGTTTTCCCATTTTCTATTTAATTTCTGGTAAGGATTTTTGTTGTTCTATGCCAGCATTTTTCAAAGAAGCAGATTACCCAAAAGAAGAGAGAAGCTAAGCAAATTCTGTGGCAGTATTGCCAGGATACTCTTTTAAGAGGAAGAAAAAAAGCATAAATTATGTTCCACTTTATCACCAAGTGTTCAATTTATTCATGTACTGTAAACATCATAACATCATTTTCTTCCTTTTCAACTGAGAACAACAACCCATGCATTAGTGGAGACTCAGCCCATGACAACAGATACGGATAATTTAACATATCCTGCTGAAAGTGTGCTCATTGTGTTCTCGTTGGTTTGTCTCAAGGCTGTTGCTATGCATGAAAACGGTTGACTATTGTAAAGCAACAAGGAGGGAGGGAATGTCAACTGTGCTACCAGCAGACATGGTCTCCAAATTGTTTTCAGTTACAGCATCTCTATTGATTTATAGCCTTACTGAGTAAAATGTTACACTGGGTCATAATAACAATTCCTACTTGTTGTGAGACATTCAGGTTCCTGTCTCCTACATTATCCTGAGGCACGGGTTCCTTTTTATAATAGGTAACCCAGGCTCTCGGAGGGGCAGGTTTACATAGGTGGAAGGTAAATGAGCAAGGAGCAACATGCAACACTTTTAATTTAGAACGCTTTCTGCTATGCATGCTTACAGAAAAGCAGCTAGCTTAGGTGACACTTCAGAATGAGAAGGCGTCAGAAGAAGGCAAATAGACTAGAATAAGAATATGTTTGTAAGAATACGTAACCTGCAGTCGGACAGCTACAGACAGTACGGCTGTCTCCTTCATGTTTGGATTTTGGGATCTAATGTGTTACAGTGTTTGCAGCAGCTTCTACACAAAGGAAGGATCTGAGAAAGAGAGCTGGTGTGGTTACAGTTAGCAAGGATGGCAGGGAGCAGACTGCCCTGTGAATAATTGTGCTCTTTTAAGTCTATGGTCCAAGCAGGTAATGCATGCATAGGCAGCAAGAGTCTAACAGAGCAAACAGCTTCACAATGCTAAGTATCCTCATCCTGTCTTCCAACCTTCTGGTTCCTGCTTCACACATAACATCACCATCCCTAAGTAGTCCTTCTCTAACGTCGCCTTGCTTCCAAAGTATCTGGTTTTATATGTCATGTTCTTTTTCATACAATATATGCTACAAATGATATTTTCCTCTAAACTTAAATTAACACGTTTTAAAATAGATCTTGCAGCAAGAGCTGAAACATCATATAAACACCATTATGCATATCCTCTATGGTTAATAAGGAAACCTGTAACTTAGTGTTTCTTTGGGGCCAGTTTGAAAATAGCAGTTCTCATAAAATTAGCAATTCTGCCAGGCCCACAGGTGTAACCTATGATCAACCTATGTGACCCAAAGAAGCTACCTTCTTTATTGGTTGATCTGAGGTACTGTTCCAGACCAATATACAAAACAGGGGTTTATTATATCTTGCTTGACACAAAGAGTTTGACATGTGAGTTTAAAGTGTAAACCTAAACCACTCAAGCTGAAAACATGTATCTCCCCTTTTAGTTAATCACATGGGTGCTCCTGCCTGCTCCCATACCTTTTCTCTTCTCCGCAGAGATTAATAACAAGCTGAATCTTGTGTTACTAATATAAATATTTTTGTTAAGAACAGTTTTTCATCTGGTTGTACAAACCAACACAGTACATTTTGTTCTGCGTGGGTTTGGTTTTTCCACAAAAAGAACAATATCAGATAATACAAGTCCTCAGGAACCTTCTCCCACTGACCAGTCTCTTATGGCCACAGATAGCTATAGGCCTCAGCTTTGACTACTCAGAAATTGTACGTACTACAGTTTATGTGTTTGTCCTTTTGTATGATGTTTGAATTTTTCCTATTTTTATAATCAATAGCAACTCTGTGAACTTTTTAGCTCATGTTAATAGGAATATATGAATAAATATATATGTGTGTGTGTGTGTGTGTGTGTGTGTGTGTGTGTGCAAATATATACAGAGCTTCTCCAGATAACTAAAGCAACTGTTCCCTCAATGCTTGAAGGATGGTACTGGTGAGGATGAGCCCAGGTGAACATGGGGTATCCCTCCTGGAATCATCCCCAATTTTCGAGCATCAACCCAAGTCCTTACTGTTCAGCGTTTTTTTTTTCCATAAATCACGGTTTTCCTTTGTTACTTTCAGAACCCCTTCCTTGAGTCCTAATAATCAATTAGTTTCTCATTTGGCTGCCTGTAACTGAATCCTAACTAAAGAGACTCCGTGAAGGACGGCGTTCTTTTGCATGTGTCCAGAAGTCCTGGGTAAGCAGTTGGAACAGAAACAGCCAGCTGCTCTCCGTTTCTGTCTCATTCCTCACTCTGGCAGTCAGTATTTCTAGCTGAACACATGGCTATCTTAACACTTCAGCCTGACTCATGACTAATCTGGCTGAGGGACACGAATAGAAGTCCTCTATGTAACTTGTTGCACTTTTTAAAAGGGAAACATCGTGTCTTTCCTGTTCCTTCTTTCTTAGACATTAAATTAAATGTAGATGGTGGCTGTATTATATGGCTTGCTGAGCTTGTTATTCCAAAGTCACACATAGCAACGAAAGGGTGAGAATAACTAAGGGTAGACAGACTATTTTTTTTTCTTTTTTTTTTTCACTCTTGAAATACAGAATTTTATTTAGAAACTGTTTAAAGTAGAAAAAAACCCTGTCAAGAAAGACCAGGTGGAAAAATGGGTTCCCAATAAAATGGAATTTGGGGGCAACAGAAGTCTAAAAGGCCACAAAGGAGAAATAGCACCACTGTCATCTGAACAATGGCTAGTTACTTGCATTTTTTTTTTGGCATTGTTAATCACTAAATTGGATTTTCCTCTGAATTCCACACAGAGCATGCACTACATAACAATCTGTCATAAAATACCTGTTTTCTACACACAGCATAAGACAAGCTACCACCAGAAACAAACCAACACAAACACATCAGGGGCTGAACAACCTCAGTAGTGGGTAACACACATTTTGCAGAATTCTGCCAAACGAACTGAATAGGTCATGGGCAAAGCAAATGAGGGAGAATTAAGGAATGAAAGTATTTTAAATATTAATATTTCAGTCATGGTACTGTATATTCTAAAAAAAAAACATTTTAACATTTAGTAACACACGAGAATTTTATCTCCAAAGAGATTAGTGCACTGGCAAAGTATTTGGGTGACAATGGAGAGCTGTGGACAGCAGACACCGAACACCCCAGCCTCACAGAGCCCAAGGTGACACTGGCCTTCACTGATCACTCCTTTGCCAGAGGTCCAGAAAGAACTTGCAGCTGCGATCACCAGCCTGCTGTATTTACAATGCTCAGCAGCAAACTTAAGGAGCCAGAGGCGTCCCCAGAGGTCAAGGGGAGCAGAGAAGAGAACGTGGTAAATGTAAACTTACAAGACAGTACAACGGGACTAGGCGCCCATTCAAATCCCAGAGATATGGGCAGGTCCCAGAATCACAATACACAGGAACTTGGGGGACTGTTTGAAAAATCCTCAGAGGAAAGCTCAGCAAAAGCTGAGCTCTGTCTCAGGTACTGCAGGGCTGAGACGCTCTCTATTCACCCAAGCTACCATGTTGCTTATATATTTTATAGTAGGGATGCAACTGGTCAATGACACCTAATGGCTTTACAGAACAACTTTTCAAACTTTCCTTCTGGGCCAAAGACTACATGAGATGTAGTCTGGAAAGGCCTGTATCAGCAGGTTCCAAAGGGTCTAAAGTCTGGCCCTTCCTTCCCAGACACAATATAGGACACACAAAATCTCCTGTCATGTTACATTTTATATTTTGAAATATGGAAGCATATTTTAAATACTCTTAAGGCATTATTTATTAAAACGTTCTCTGCCAGAATTTCACTTAAAATTCATATCAGTCTTTACATTTCTCTGAGTATTTGTAATACCTCAATGTATTACAAAACCCCCTTCTCCATCAGTCAGTGTGACCAGCATCCACATGAAGAGCCCCATGGTTGGCCTCTCTGTCCCCTAGTGAACCAACTAGATGTTAATACTGCTCTGCTACAAGGCAACAGCTCCTAACTCAAACTCATCGGAAAGAGACTTCTGCAAAGTGCACTTTGAAGAAGAGGTACTTTTTGCTTATGAAAAGAAACCAGTGAATTCTCTAAGAATAACAAAAGGGTGTATTTAACAGTTAAGCACATGATTTGGAGTGAAGAATTCGGATGTTGCTCTGCTGGTCCAGGCTGCTTAATACTCTTCTTGTTCCTCCTGTGGGCCCCCTTCATCAGGTATCACAAAGCCTTCATCTGTGGCTTAAAGAATATCTACAATCCTCTGCAGTACAGGGTCATTTTCCCCCTCATTCTCCTGGCAAATCAATTCAATGTTCCTTAGCTTTCCAAAGTAGAAGTCTCTCTCTTTCTCCAAGTCTTCAACAGTAAGCTTCAAAACTTTGACCTGCTGCACCAATTCAGCTGCTTCGTCATCCCCATTACCCACACCAGGATTCTTTCGCACCATCCCTGGACCAGCCTTAGGAGCTGCAGTAGTTCTCTGTGTTGCAATGGGTCTCTGCGGAGCTGCATTACCGGAGCTGAGAGGTTTCTTCGGTTTACTCAGAGCTGGGGCGACAAGAGAAGGAGCCACTGCCGTTTCTTGACCTTGTCTGGCAGCTACAGGGTCATACTCTTTTCCATCATAATTTGCATCAAAAAACTTCTTGAACCACTGAACGAATTCAAAATTGTCCTGAAATTTTCCTTTTACTAATTTATCCACAGGAATTATTTTGTCAACGCCCATCCTCTTGAAACCTGCTTGTAGTATTTTGAAGTTCTGGATATATTCATGTTCTAGCTTAGCTTGGAATTTCACTTTCTTCAAAGCAATGGAGCCAGGGAAGAGCATGTCCATAAACTGACAGTATGCAGCTCCTGAGCACAATTGTTCTATCTTTGTCAGATTCAACTGCAGAGATTCATTGATCCAAGCCAGCATGTCATGTCGACTTAGGTTATCACTGGTGACTGACGTCGAGTACACATTCACTGCCATCTTCGGCTCTCGGGGAACCCGCGTCCTCTGACCGCGCCCAGCTCCGGTTCCGTCTTCGTCTCGTTCAAACCGTCGGACCGGGTAGACAGACTATTGTCGGACTTATTTATTCTTGGACATTTTTTCGTATAAAAGGAATAAACTTCTCACTTGTTTTACCACTATTATTTTGAGATCTTTTCCCCACAACTGAACTTATGTCTAAATAATCAAGGAGTATATGGCTGTACAGCAATGAAGCAAGCTGCTTCTGTCTTTCTGGCCTCCCACCCTTATTGAATGGTTCTTCTCCTTAAAGTTACTTCATTATTGCAAAGCCCCAAATGAGCTTTCCATTTTCAGTCTAGGTTTAAAAGAAAGAGAGAGAGGTGGAACAAGTAACCCCTGAACCAGAAAGATAAACTTTCTAGAATTCACAGAAGACTTTATTCTTGTCATGTTGGCCATATCTTGATATGTAATTTTAACAGCTGGACATGTCAACACACCCCCTAAGAAAAAAGTCACATGATGAGAAATGACAAAGAAATGAAGAAAAAGAAGGTGCCTAGCAGGGTCACAGCAGTGCTCAGAAAGAATGTATTCTAAGCAACTCAAAAACCCCACATGGGTCTTGTCAACGCCCCCCCTAGTAGAAAACAGGTAGCACCTCAGTAACAAAGAAAAAAGGGGGGCTGATAATCATTAATAGTTTCAGGCCATAGTTAAAATCGGGGTCACCTCAAGAGAGCGGACCCTTAGAAAACAGTAGGCTGATGATGATATTTTGTAGGAAATAAATGAAAAGAAGCTAGACAGAGAAGAAAACCTACTAAAACCATCCAAACAGCAGTAAAGGCGACAGTAAAATGTAGATGGTTTATGAAAATTACCATGTAAAATTTATGATTGCAATTACTGCGAAATGTAGCTACATGATAGAATCAAGATTGGCGGGTGTTCCTGCTTATCAATTTAAAAACTATATGCCATTTCCTCGGGAAGATTTCAGTCAAGCAGATAGGACCAGAACCAGTTTGCAGTCAGTTGAGGGTTCACTGGTTTAGATATGGCTGGAGTGTGTCCACCACAGGCCCATGTGCTAGAAATTGTGTCCCCATTGTGAACTGTTAGGAAGTGGAGCCTAGTGAGAGGGCTAGGGAGGCAATATTGTACTTCTTTTGGAACCCCAGTTAGTTATGGCTAGAGGAGGTGGTTTCCAAAAGAACAAGACTGGATCATGAATGACGTGGCTTCCTATAATCTCATAGCGTTCTCTTGTCATACTTCTCTAATATCTTGTGAGCAGCCATTGGTGCTCTTCACAAAAACAAAACAGATGGGGCCACTCAATCTTTGAGTTTCAGTCTCCAAACTATGCGCTACATAAACTTTTTTTTTTCAATTTGTAAGTATCCAGCTATGGAGAAAAGACATGAGCTAACACTAGACATCAGAAGGAACGAGAATGTAGGGAAGGCTGTATGTCATGAGAAAAATAATTAACACCAGGTATCAGGGAATCCAAAAGTAAATGGTGACATCATCTGTTTTACAACTAGTTTTTTTGAAAAATGACACTTTTGTGTCATCCTGTTTAACTATGACCTTGAGGTTAGGTGTCAGGGGCAGAGCCTGCGCTGTTGCTGTCTGCCTGTGCGCCTACCCAGTGCCTGCACTTTGTATGCCAGGCTTGGTGTGTGCCCATGGTAGCCAGTGTGTGCCTCATAAATGTCAGTAACTGCCTACTGGTGGCTGTCTGCGCCCTGAATGAATACAGTATGTCTTATCTCCATAATACTGTTCAAAATTCCTTCAGTTTCCTGGTCTCTTGATACCCTTTTCCTTTCCTGGACTTTGGACTTTAAATGAGCATCATATTGTGTTACAGCTGTAGAAAACAGGCTAAACCCAGAGTGAGAGCAAAATAAGAATGTAGCTTTAAAAAAATGAAAGGAAAGAAAGTAGATTTGAGTAGGGGGTCCAAGTGCACAGTGTCAGCTCTCTTTGATTGAAAGTGACTTCTTAGAAATACAAAGAACAAAAGTTTTAAATTCTTACATTAAAGGAAAATAAGTATATTGCTTTGAATAAATGTTATTCAAAATTTTTTACAATTTCGGCTGCATGGTTCTCTTAAAGTTGTATTTCTCTATGAATGCAGAAATTTAAAAGTATGTCTAGCCAACACAGGTGACTCTAGCCCTTCCTAGTATCAAGGAGAGAGATTCATGTGTCTTTCTCAACATTCAGAGTCTCAAGTCAAAACACCTTTGATATAAAAAGAAACTTTGAACGTGTTTTAAAATTTCGTTTCCACACACACCATGTCATCAACAAATGGCACTTTGCTCTTTAAATAGCGCATGAACCAAATCCAAAAGACAAATGCTCAGTGTGATACTGTATCTATAGAACCACAATTCTGCCAAATGGATTTGACATGCAGATCACTGAGAAATCACGCTGAGCCAGTCAAAGAAAGAAAAAAAAAAACCAAACTGGGCTCCATCCATGGGCAATAAAGGGCCACAAAGGGCGTTCCAGGCTCTTTAGAAATATTAGTTCCTCATCACAACCGTAAGAAGTTGCATTTTGAGACTAAGAGAAAATAAAGTGAGTGGTTAGTAGTTTAGTCAGGAGTCTGGGCAGAGTGAGTGTCACAGCCAGGAAGGAGCCCCCCATTTTCTGACATTCAGCTTGGTGTTTCTAGTGCCCATGTCTGCCTTTTGGAGCAAACTTCAAAGAATATAAGCAAAACAAGAGGACTTAAGAAATTGTAGATGCTCTTGTTTTGTTTTGCAAACACATTTTTAAAATAACACTGAAGCAATCCTAGAGAGCAGTTGTCAGTAGTGAAGAAACTGCAAAAGCAACACCAACATTTTAGTTTATGGGTTTTAATGAGTGTGACTAGGTATCATTTTGTCTAGGAAACTTACTCAAAGTTATCATCACACAGCCCAGTAGAGTCGTGTATATGGTATATATGGTAAAAAAAAAAAATGCCAGTGAAAAATTTTGCAAGGCTTAGAGCCTCAAGATCATTTGATTGGTCCATAATTAAAATAACCAGAATATATGTCCTACATCAATGCGGCAATGCCATGGAAATTATTTGGCTCATTCAGTTGCTATTTTTCTGAGGCTTAAACTGTGTGTGCTGTGGTGTGTGTATGTGTGTGGGGGGGGGGGGGAGGAGAGAGATAGAAACAGAGACAGAGATAGAGAGAGAGTGAAAGAGAGAAAGAGAGATTTATCTGGAATTTAACATTGTAGCTTTTTTGATACTAATTATTAAAAGATAAATAATATCAGAGTGGCATAGAGATCAATTAAATCTATCACAAAGATCAAATCTGTAAACAAACATGCCATCAGGAGCAATAGGATGTCTATGGAATTAACTTCAAGAATCATATAGTATCCCACTTTAATACAAGTTAAAGTTGGGCGGTGGTGGTGCACGCCTTTAGTATCAGCACTCAAGCGGCAGAGTTCAAGGCCAGACTGGCCTACAGAGTGAGCTCTAGGACAGCCATGCCCACACAGAGAACTCCTGTCTGGTGAATCTCTGTGAGTTCAAGGCCAGACTTATCTACAGAGTGAATTCTAGGACAGCCAAGCTTACAGAGAGATACCCTGTCTCCAAAACACCAAAAAAATAAATAAATGCCAAAATTTATGTTAAAAAGCACTCGGGAGGCAGAGGCAGGCGGATCTCTGTGAGTTCGAGGCCAGCCTGGTCTACAAGAGCTAGTTCCAGGACAGGAACCAAAAGCTACAGAGAAACCCTGTCTCGAAAATAAATAAATAAATAAATAAATAAATAAATAAATAAGTAAAAAACAAAAACATGTATCATTTCTGGTAAGCAGATCGTCATGAAAAGTAGAACATAAATAGAAAATACTCAAGCACAATAGATGTTCCTGTCTTTGTTAGCAGTCTAAAGCAGTTACGCTACAGTTAAATGTGGGGAAGGCAAGCAGAATGGCAGAGCAGTGAGTGCTAGCATCATATACCAAATGCTGATGGAGGTTAGGGTATGGGAACATTAGCTGTGGAACAAATTACCTCCTTCAGGTGAGGCAGAGTAGGTCAAGTCACTGTGGATCAGGAAGCAGAAAAAAAGAGATGGGTCATGGTTAAGGAGCTTTGATTCCCAGGAATGACTGCGTTGAGGATCTTTTATTAAAATGTAAAGTAATAAGTTCTCTTATAGGAGGTAATGATTAAACATAAATATTCCTGAAAAATAAATTCAAAGTAAACAAGGTAATATGATATGATATGATTAGAACATTTTGTAATCCCGAACATAGTGTGGAAAACTGTATTAGTATTGTGGGAAATAAAGAGGCTTAACGTCAGGACATATCAGTACTACCAAGCAGATTGTCCTATTTGAGGGTATCTCTCATATGGTGCTGTCTACCACCCTGAGAGCGTGGTGATTTAGCATGTCCTATTGAGGAGGATCTTACTTGAGGACTCAGCAGCATCCTTGCTATAAACAACTGAAGCTGCATTAAATGCTTTGGCAGGCAGAACTACACACAGGGAATTTTTGCTCCCTGGTGTGATGAGTAATTTTTACTAAATATAAATTGCTGTGTTAAATCAATATTCTGAGCTTCCAACTATTGAGAATATGCTCTATTCATTGATCATAAGATTATACACGTTCCCAGAAAATTCTGATCATCTGTTTTGAGAACTCTCCCTCTGCAATTTTAATGACTTTCCCCTGCATGCATTTTCTCTGGACAATGAAATGAGGTACCAATTAGTTCAACTCGCTAGCTCTCAGGGTAAACGCAGGGAGTACAGAGTCGATAGCAAAATTTATTTTTGAGGGGCAGGCAAGCTGTGAGAAGAGAAAAGCAATAAACACAAAGTAAGATGTTGTCTAGGTGAAGAGAAGCATCCATGTCGTAGAATCCATCAGTCCTGGGATCAACACACTGAGCACAGCGATGCTGGTCAAGCAAAGACAGCTATGGTGGCACAGTTATCTTACCGTCTGCATTGTCCTTCTGATTATATTATAGTCAGCTCTGCTAGAACAAAA